GGCTACTTTCTTTTACCAGTTCTGCCTATGTGAAGATAAGTCAAAGGTCCTGTTCAACCATGGTTGGCTTCACTTGGAAGCATGTAGCAAATGATTCCTCTGTGTTGACCCTCCCTCCTCTTTATAGACTGGACACTGGTTCAAGTCCATCTCGTGGAGTCTCTTCAGCCTCCTTGATCAAGAGGACAGGTGACCCACCACCATTATAGGACATTTTGAGAGATGCTCATAGTCCCCTGGAACTAGTCTACCTAGGAGGGCAAGGAGCAAAAAGCATCCTTTATGTCCCTCTGACCAAATTATTACTGACCTCAAAGTATGTGTTAAACAAGCAAGAAAGTTAGTTCCACCAGTCTGGTACTTTTAATTACTGTGTGCCATGTAGATAAATCTTGGGCAAAGACCAATTGTTCTCAGATAAACCTTGCCTAGATATATTTCTTGATCTGGTATGTATAATTTGTCAGCAGATTGTTGGACTAATATGGTTCCCTCTGGTTTTTAAAACTACTAGGCATTATTTATCTCTCTCATTGTCTAACCCCTCCATCATGGTTTCCCCAATTAAGGTGCCCCCATTTTCCCCTTTCCCCCTTAATAATTCCCTTCTCCTATGGGCCTACCTCTCTTGAGCTCCTTCTTTCCATTTATCCCCTAGGTTCCTTGTATACCCTTCCCTCCCCCTCCCTTAAACTAACCCAGTTTTTATCCATATCTCCCTTATTAACACCTGTTTCCTACTGTTCTTCTCTTTCAGGTTCTTTCTTTTCTTTTACCTCCCTGGTTCCTTTCCATTATCCTGGTTCCTGCAGTTATGTCTGGGTACATACAAACTTATCAGAATTTGGTTCTAGGATCCACATATGAGGGAGAAAATATGTCGATTTTTTTTCTGAGTGTGTGTTACTTAACTTAGTGTAACAGTTTCTAGTCCATCTGTTTACCTGCAAATTTCATCTTTCTTTACTGCCAAATAGAACTCCATTGTGTAAATATACCACATTTCTGTTAACCACTTGTCAGTTGAGGGCTACTTAGGTTCCTTCCATCTCTTAGCTATTGTGTAAAGAGCAGCAACAAACATGGTTGTACAAGTGTCTCTACAATAGGATGAATCCTTTGGGTATATGCCAAGGAGTGGTATAACCGGGTCATAATTGGGTTGCTTCTCATCTTGGTTCTCTGTTTTTTGAGTTCGTTATATATTCTGGATATTAAACCTCTATCAGATGTGTTGCTACTGGAGATTTTCTACCAATCTGTGGGTTTTCTGTTCACTTTCCTGGTTGCCTCCTTTGATATACAGAAGCTTTTTAGTTTAATGAGGTCCCATTTGTTAATTCTTGCCCTTGTTTCCTGAACAATTGATGTCCGGTTTAGAAAATCCTTTCCTACACCTATATCTTGTAGGTTTTTGCCTGTCAGTTTGGTGTTCTATATGCTTCTTGTATTTGTATTAAACTTCTTTAATTTGGGAAAATTTTCTTGCACAATTCTGTTGAAGATCTGGTCCAGGCCATTATCTTGGGATTCTTCTCTCTCCTGTATGCCTATGATTCGGAAGTTTGGTCTTTTTATGGTGTCACACAATTCCTGCATATTCCATTCTTGAGATTTCTTAAATTTTTCATAGTCTTTGCTTGAGTGGTCCAGTTAGTCCACTTTATCTTCCAGTCTTGATACTCTATTTTCCATTTCATTCATCCTATTGGTGAGGCTTTT